ACATGGCTTATTCATTGCCTCTCTCTTCCTATCGAACCGAGAAGGCTGGGTTTCAGTTGCCGTAGGCATATCTACAGTACATGGAGATGTTTAGTGGCCCTACACATCAGGGCAAAGAATTCGTCCCCAGAGAGAGCACCAGATGTCTCAGGTGGAGCAGACCGCAGGGAAGAGCCATGACCTGAGCTCAGATCAGAAGGGTGAGGAGATGTTGCTAAGTCGCCCATATATTCACCATCCAGGTTACCAGATGCCATCACTGATAGCAGCTCCGCGTCATCATCAGCAGCCTGGGAAATCAGCTGCTGAGCTGAAGATGCTTCACCAGAGTGCCCTGATGGGACTGTGTGTCGCTCAGTGAGTTGCTGCATCGTCCACTGCTGGCTAGATGCCAATGATGAAACCTCTTTCACCAGAGAGGCCATTGTATTGGCGAGAGCGTCATAGGCCTCATGTTTCCTCTTTCTGTGTTTTTTGCCTGAAGTTGGCGGATCAGCGCCCGTCACTTCGTGGGCACGCGACTCCTGAGAAGCGGGCCGAGACGGCGGCTGTGAACTCATCTCGGATGACTCCCGGGAAGATGTAGACACCTTGTCCCCCCTAACTTTATTTACCCTACTCAATAGAGTACGTGCAGAGAAAGGAAGACAGTTTGGGCAGCTGGAAGGGTCTGCCTTCGAAGCAATCGCATGCTCCGGGCCCAGACATGTCACACAAAGAGTATGACCATCTTCCACTGGCGTTCTGCTTTTGCAGTTAGAGCAGTTGTGAAATCCAGGCATGATAGCCTAATGGCAAACAACAATTTCCTCATATAATGTATATATATATATATCTGAATGCAGAATGATTCCAGATATTAAGCCAGTAGCACCACTAGAATGGTACCAGATATGGTACCAACAGAGCTACAATGCAATGGTACCAGAGACTGTACCAGCACGCCACAAAATGGCACCAGGCGTGGTGCTAGCAACAAGAGTGACAAGAGATGCAGCCAGAAAATGCTTCTGGGTTCTCTTTTCTCCCTTCTATGCAAAAACGTCCAAAAACATAAATCAACTTACGCAGAAACGTACCGTTAGATCTCCGTTCGGGGAGACATGTACACACCGAATAGCCGAGCAAAATATTCTCCGTTACGGGAGAATAAACTTTACCTTACTAAGCGGCGATAGCTAACTTATAAGGTAGTGCGATCAAAGTAGCGAACTATAGCCTGGAGAGGAGTAACAACAGTTACCGGCTCTCAGACAGTAGACTGTCAATAGGCACCTCGCTAGCAGAGATCAAGTCTTACCTTATCAGATCGCGTGAGGGATTAAAAGAGGACGATCGTGTGCCACGCTCACAGTTATATCCAGTGACGTGCACACTCACATGTAAGTAATGTTTTGTTATAGGTCTACCTCAGAACTCGCGCATGCGCGGATTATATTCCTGCCCTCTGGGCTAGCCGTCTGGCAGCCTTTCTTGAGTGAAACAGAACCATAACAGGAAGTCTGTAGTTTATACTTCCCCGCTCCTCTTCAATGCTCCACTGCTCTTTCATTGAATCACTTTGATTAGTGAATAACTGCACAACAGCATCCTCATCTGCACCAGTTTGATCTAATGGAAATCATGACAGACTCTGACAGATTATCAGAATACGGGTTGAGATTAAATGATTATGCAGCTGAAAGTCATCCTTTACATCAGATTGCAAGAAATGAATCCATTAATATCATTGTCACTGTTAGACACAGGTCAGACATCCTCACTTCCACGCACCTTTCCCTCTCCAGCCTCCAGTACCTTTCTCACTGCAGGTAAGTGATACCTGTTAAAACAACATACTTGTTTAGCATATACTGTAGGACTTAACGTAAAAACCTTGCATCAGATTTGATATATCTTCTTAATTTCCAGGAGGGAAAACCTTTGTCAAACCTTCAAGCCCCTCAAGCATAGGCACCTCTGACTTTGCACACTGCACTTCCACACCTGCACTCACTGCAGAAAGCAGCACCTTTGTGGTCACTTCTCAGACTATAGGTTGGGGTTCTCTCTGTAGAGGATGCCTCTCTCTCTAAGGGGGTCCTATAGGTTGGGGTTCTCTCTGCAGAGGATGCCTCTCTCTCTAAGGGGGTCCTATAGGTTGGGGTTCTCTCTGCAGATGATGCCTCTCTCTCTAAGGGGGTCCTATAGGTTGGGGTTCTCTCTGCAGAGGATGCCTCTCTCTCT